ACCCTATTATTTATTATATTAAAAAAGGAGACCCACAAAACATGCACATTTAATCTTACACATCCCCCCCATGCCTAGGTTAAAAACAGTTAATGGAAAACAATGGAAAATTCAGCATCTAAAATAATACATGCAGTTTGAATGGCCTAAAATACTATTCAAATATGGACAATGACGTGAACTCTTCCACCAATTATATGTGTTTGATTAGGAGTGTCATTCTAACTGTGGAACATTTTTTTCCTAACCATAAAAGTGCACAAAAACTATTTTCATTGTCTTCCTGTTACTTTTCAAACCATTTGGTATACAGTTCAAAATAATAGATAGATAGTGTTTATTATGGTGACTGACCAGTGAATTAAAGAATCAACATCATAAAAAGAGTAAAAAAACAAAGCATGGGAAGTCATGGCATTAGAAGGACATTATGGTGTTGATGGAGCAACCCACACTAAGTAAGCTCCATTCAGTGACTGTTTTATTTGGCTTCTGTTTTCTGGACTTTCATTCTATTTTCTTTAAATTATTTTATTTTATTCCCATGTGTTACTTATCCATACAACCCTTTGATTCACCCAGCTAGTTTTGTACCCAGGGTGGGACTAGAACTCACAATCTCCTGATTTCTAACCTGGTGTTTTAACCACCACACCAAACTGTTTCTCCATAATAAATGATGGAAATGTTTACAGGTAGTTCTCAAGTTACAAAGTTTCATTTAGTGACCATTCAAAGTTACAACTGTGCTGAAAAAAGTGGTTGTTTTTCACTTATTGTAGCACCCCCATGATCATGTGATCAAAATTGGGAAGCTTAGCAACTGGCTCATACGTATGACAGTTGCAGTGTCCTGGAGTTATGTGATCACCATTTGTGACCTTCTGACAAGCAAAGTCAGTGGCAAGCCCAATTCACTTTACAACCATGTTACTAACTCAATAACTGCAGTCATTCACTTAACAATTGTGGAAGATCATAAAGCTCACTTAACTGTCTTGCTTAGCAAGAGAATGTTGGTCTCAATTCTGGTCATAAATTGAGGACTTCCTATAGTTATATTTCTGTTCCCTTCAGATATCGGAAAATCATGGGTGCTCCATCACTGGAAGTTTTTAAGAAGAGACTGAACAGTCACTTGACTGGGATTGTAGGTTCTCCTGCTTGAGAGGGGGGCTGGTCTAGAAGACCTCCAAGGTCCCTTCCAGCTCTATTCCAATTCTATTCCTATTCATATTCCCATTCTCATTCCCTATTCTTATTCCACTCCACTCCATTCTACATCAAGACCACCTGCATACCACACCCTCCTCTCATCCTTCACCCGTGAGGGAAGTTGGGGGGCAAGTGAGTGACTGATTGAAAGCCACTTTTTGTGGCTGAAAGTAAACTTAAATCAGAATCTTCTGCTCCTGGTCCAACCTCTTCACCACTAAACCACATTGACCTGTAGATTCTCAAGATGCCATCTGGTACCTCTCAGCTCTGGCATTGCTTTTAACTGGCTGTGTCTGCTCACCATTTGTTTTCCTATCTCCCTTCTTGTAGAATTACTGAAATTTTGCTCTCCTGAGCCTCCCTAACTACATAATAAACTTTAGGAAAAATTGTCCTTCACAGAGAACGTGGGGATTATGGGCTGGAGACCAAAACTACAATTTCCAGGACATTTGGATGAAGGCTCCTGCAAAGGCTAAAGTTTATATTTGATACAATCAGCCTCTCAATATTTCTCTACCATCATCACCTCAAGCTTTCAGGTTCTGTTTTTCCAGATTCCACCTCAAACAAACCCTGCAGACACCACCTTTCTTGATGCAGATGCCGATTCTAAATAAATCCCAGAGTCATTACGTATAAATGGAGAAAGAACAGGCTGTTAGAGGGAGATAAGAGAAACATCTTATTTGACATTTTGAGAAGGCAATCGCTAATGAGGCTGAAACTTTCCATCAATGATTTGCCATTGTGCTGGGAACGAGAGGGGAAGCCTTCCTTCTGCTCTGTACATATGAAAAGATTGTTGCAAGCATTTTTTCTTGCAATAAACTCTATGTTTTATAGTTCTGGCAAAGTTGGTGGAAGAGGTGGAGCTGGTATTGCTGCCATTTCTGCCAGGATGTCAGTACTGTTGATGAAAGAAATGTCCTTCTGGGTTTGGCTCCAAGTGGGGAAAAAGACACTGGAGACACGGAAAGATGGTTTATTGGTGGACAGGGCCACATGGCTTGAGCCCTGACCAGAAAAGGT